AAAAAAAAAAAAAAAAACAAAGACTTGTGCAAAGCTGATGATAAGAACTCGGCGAAAATAAGGGAGACAGGGATTGTTGGAAGAAATTAGACAAAAATTGGGCGGAAGAACTCAGAAAAACTGACGAAAATTCATATCCAGGCGGAAGAAATGAGATAAAAAAACCCCAATCTCTTTTTTAAGAGAGAGAAGGAGAAGACCCCGTTCTAGATTTAATTTTTCTTTATTTGAATTGCCACGTCAGTTTGTAAACCAAGATTGTCAATTACCGATGTACGTGTAGCGGGACTGTTAAATCTATCCAAACCTAATATCAAAACATGTAATTTTGGCACACAGGAGAAAAGGGATTTCCATAACCGATCGCAGTCTCAATTTTCCAATTTTCAATTTACTTTTTTCTTTTTTTCCAATTTTATATAATGCTTTGCCTGCTCACATGTTTTTGTGTCCCAACCTGAGTGCTGACTCTGGAACATTCTACCTATACATTTCACTCCTCCGAGCTGTTAAGGTTATCTCTCCCTCTCTCTCTCTCTCTCCGTGTATTTGAACATAATTGATGATTCTTTCTTTTACTGAACAAGAGATTCTTCAGTTTTGGAGCGACTCTTAATCGATTTCGGTATATACCAGCTTTTTTTTTGTACGAAATCAAATTGTGTCCTATTTTTAATAATTGATGCGCAATTACGTTTATTGGAAAAATATTATTTACTAGCTTTTAGTTTTTGTTTTTCATGCAAAATTGTGCCTTTGTTCATTTCCTTGTTTTTTATCGGATTTTTTTGGATAGGCAATCGTGATTTTTTCATGCTTAATAATTGTGTAAAGGTCGGCCTTAATGACCTATGCCCTTCGGTATTATAAGAGATTAAAGAACATTTGTGGAGTTAGGTAGTGTCTCTGCTGAAGTGGCCAGCCAGTATATATACCCAAAAACCCGCAGAAGCCATGTTAGACGAAAGAATGGATTTTTTCCTATTTTGATTTTTCAGTTTTTAGGGATCATGTCATGATATATGCATAATGGCAATCTAAAGTTCATAGTCAAAGAAAAGAAATTGTGTTAGGGTAGTTAAATTTTTGTTAGGGATGAATCATGAAAATATCGGCTGTTGAAAAATAACAAGGTTCAGTTCATAACTGGAAAATGTATGAGATATTTCTGTTTTTCTTTCGTCTGAGAGATGTTTAGAGAAGAATCAGATTGGCCGTGGCTGTGGGGGACGGGTGAAGAGTCTTTTAGGGATATTCTCATGAGTTGGGCTTTCTAGATCAAAGTAAAAAACATAGTGGAATGGGACTGTTAAACTAAATATCAAGATCTAATAATTTGTAGAATGAAAATGGGACAATATAGTGTTATTTTCTATTTAAATCATTTTAAAATTATTTTGGCAATGGTATTGAAATTAATTTGAAGTATATCACATCAATGCAACATGCAAAGAATTCAGAGTAAAGTATTTTAAACAAGCTTAGCTTAGGATGTTAAATCTTATGGATGTTTTAAACTCAAGACTGATTGGCCAACTCATGAAGGTTTTACCTGTGAGGTTTATTTTATAGTTTCACAGTGATGGCAGAACTGTAGGAGTTGAATAGCTATAATGGAGGGGGTGTGGAGAGTTGAGTAACATTAATCCAATTTATCTTTGCTATTTATTCTGCATATCTTTCCACCTTGATGTGGTCTTTTCAAGTGTTTGTTAAGACATGAATTATGACGTATATTTCAGGAAGGATGGGGCGATCAAGCAGAACAATTTATGTTGGTAATCTTCCCAGTGACATTCGTGAGAGAGAAGTTGAGGATTTGTTTTACAAGGTTTATTCCAATAACGGTTATATATACATATATCTCTTTTGGGGGTGTTAATTCTTTAGTACTTTTGGTTTTTAATTGATATCTTTAACGTTGAAATATGTATATGGGCACGCCATAGTTTTTTCTATTCTATAGTAATAATTTATTGATAGGATGAACAACATTGTAAACTTCTTCCCCAAAAATGTGAACAATTGGAACTGGAAGATGAAAAAAATGAAAAATGAAAAATGAAAGCAAAAAGATGATAACTACCACCCACCTTCATTTCCTGCTGAACTGTTGTGATAGGGTACTTTTCCTTTACTATCTAGATTTGTTTCACTTCAGATAAGATCATAAGACTGCATTGTCCATGTTGCTTGCACATCATACATTATGCTTAAACAACTTAAATGTGGGAGTCTTCTTTCTTTCATCACTGTAGTTCCATTCCCCTTTGCCTTGTTTGATGATATGATGGTTGTTTTAATTGTTAATCTCTCCTTTGTACTTTTTCGCAGTATGGGCCAATTGTTAATATTGACTTAAAAATCCCTCCAAAACCTCCTGGTTACGCTTTTGTTGAGGTGAGTACCTTTACCCTTTCTAAATTTGTGGCAGCTAACTATTTATTTGGGTAGGATAAATTATATTTCGTGTCATGTAAATACTTATAGGTTAGTAGACTGGCAGTGGGGGAGAATCTATCCATTCAAATACTTAGATGGTTTAGTTTGGGGATATCTGATTTACATCTTTTGTGTAATAATATTCTATAATGATCCGTGTTTCAGTTTGAAGATCCTCGGGATGCTGATGCTGCTATCCGTGGCCGAGATGGTTATAAATTTGATGGCTGTCCATTGCGGGTGAGTTATATGTTATTTATGCTTGTATAAACTTTTCAAAAAGAGTAGTCAGCCGTGTCTTATCATTTTCCTTATGTGGTTTGTCCGGATTAGGTCGAACCTGCTCATGGAGGCCGAGGGTCGTCGTATGACCGCTACAGTAGTTATAGTAGCAGGAGCAGTCGTGGTGGACTCTCTAGACGTTCTGAATACCGAGGTAAGAGAGGCTTGCACGGATCATTTTTGTTAATAGTTCTTATTTCTTAGCTAATCTGGATTTCTAGCATGTCCTCAAATATTTTTGGCAACGTTTTGTAGTATTGGTGACTGGGCTTCCTTCCTCTGCTTCATGGCAAGATTTGAAGGTAATCAGTTTTTACTTGCATTGTTTTATGTACTGTGTTGTGCAATAATGAAACTAGAAAATTATTTTTGAGTAATCTTCCGCAAACGTCTTGCTATCATAATTTTTTTTATTTTGTTATTGTGAATTCCTTTATAAATGATTATGATTGTATAGGATCACATGCGTCGGGCAGGAGATGTTGGTTTCTCGGAGGTTTACCGTGATCGTGATGGTAAGCACACATGAACTCTTTTTAAATCACTAGTAAAGTGTACGTGCGATGTACGTGATATAACTTTTATAATTTTTTTACCGATTAATTTTGTAATATGAAAAAAAACGATAAATTTAGTAAATATATCTTTGTAGGAATGAAATAAAACAAAGAATAAAATGAGTCACTGTATTAGAATAGAACTACATAATCATGTCCTAATAGAAGGGGACTGAAATAACATATTAATATTTTAATGCTTCAAGTCAAAATAGATGAAAAAAATAAATCGAGTCTTCAATGCAAATAAAGAGAAATAACTAAATTAGTACCTAATGTATATTATAAATGCATTAGTTCTTTATTTTCTTATTTTTTTATGACTATACAAGTGATTTTTTTCATTTACTTTTGACGTTATCCTCGCCATATTTTTAAGACTGACGATTCTCTCAAGATCTTCAATTTTATTGGAACTCTCATTTCCATCTTCTTTTATCTTGTTTTTTTTATTTCTTTTATCTGCTTGATGGTGCTCTTTTTTTCGATTGTACATCATTTGGGCTAGGCAAGTTGAAAATTTTGATGAGTTTTCTTTCATTACCCCATCATGTCATGTGTAGGAACGTAACAACCACTTTCCCCCATGTTCAACTTTTATATTGTGACGTACAATTTATGTTTTGCAAGATTTAAAAACTCAAATTCACTTATTCATTCCTCTATAGTATTTAGACGCTTGTTCTCCCTATAAATGGAAAAATAATTTAGAAATAGAATCTTGAATCCACATGAATTCCAAATTAAAAATTATGTCACATCCTTTCCATGATTCTAAGAACATTAATTTTATTTTGATTTATCAGTTTTTATTTATCCGACGTGTTCTTATGTTGGTAATATATTTTTTAGCGGTTGCTAACTTTACATCATGTAAAGTATAATTTTAAATGATAAGAGTCTTGTTAGTTTCTAACAAGTTTATGAATAACATAGGTTTTTCGGTTCGAACCAAATACTTTTATCCCAATCCAACTAAATAGGGACCGTCTACGGTTAGGTATTCCTCGTACCTATCTAACATTAGATACCCTCCTATATCACCATTAGATTGACTTAAAAATCAACTTATATATATATAGCTCATATAACATAAAAGTTACTTATGAACTGCTTTCTAAAGGTATGATTCTAATGAATTATTATTATTATTATTATTATTATTATTATTATTATTATAGTGATAAAATATCATTAAAATATATTTTTCTTATACTTTGCCAACCGGTCATCTAATATATATATACTAGTACAACACCCATGTATTACATGGGTGGGGATGGTGCCTCATCCCGGACCGTCCATGGACGGATTCATAAAAGTGGAATCGGTATCCGGACAAGTCAAATCCAGGACCGTCCCGGACCGTGCCCGCCCCTATCATAAATAATCAACATATTTATAGATCATCCGAACCTAAATATTTTTGGATTAGAAGTAAATTAAATCTACTCAATCCTAATAACGAAGCATGTAATTTTGCCACATAGGATCCCGAAGCATGCGAGTCTGCCACATAGGCTTAGCACATTCTAAATTAATATATAGGGGGTTATTGACAAGTATCAATAAAGTGCTTTTTAATTGTACTTTTGCAGTCGATCATTTAAAAATTTAGTGTTAGCAAATAACTATTCAAAAATTTATATGTAGTACTACATTACTAGTAAAAAACTATTTAATATGTAGCTTTAATATTTAATAGCTTTATTCTAATTACTCCATATATTGTGTCCAATTATTTTAATAGCTAGCAATTATAATGGAACAATAATAAAAGTAGTATCTTAAAAGTCTATTTATGAGTATCTTAACATTTGTAAAAAAGCATTTTATTATGAAATTGAATACAATTTCAAACTCACCATCTCATCAAAAAATAAAAAAAAATTCACAATTCATTCATCTCACTTTTTTCTCTTTTCTACACTCTCATTTTAATATATTTTACACAATAATTATTACTGCATATCTAATTATAAAAAATTTACTATTCATCAACTATTTCACTATCACACTATAATTAAATATTATTTATTAAAATTTACTATAGCTACCAATCATTATTTAACTATTTCACTATCACACTATAATTAAATATTAGTTTTTTATATCACATCACTATAAATTAAAAAAATATTAATTCTTTCCCTAACTTCTTTTCACCAACTAAATTTTTTTCTCTCAAATAAAAATAAATTCAATTACATAGTTTTTAATTTAACCAACTTAACTATTTTTTATACACACCATCCAGACACGATACCATTTTCACATTAAGTATCCGACAAATTAGATGGAAAGTGAGTTTATATCCTCGAATTTGATTTTTTAAAGATAATTCTATCCTAATAAATTCTTTTAAATAATTTAAACCATGAAAGTGTGACTAGATTGAATTAATGTTCACAATGCTGATTTGTATTTGGTACTGCTAAATTAGATATTTGTGATTCATTCATTAATAAAAAATCACAGTTCTTTGTCAACCACTACATTAATAAAAAAAATAAAAAATTCTTAACCCATACATACATAAAAAAATTACAAAAGTGCCAACAGAGTATTTTAATTGTATTTATCACTAAAAGTCTACAATAACAATAACAATAATAACAATATTACTGATGCCCCCAGGGCATGTAACCTGTTGGCTGAGCAGAGGATGTCACATTCCATGTGTGTCTGGAGGTCACGAGGTCGAGGTTGAACCTGATTGCCTTGTGGAGTGAGTGTGGGGCCACTAACTCTACGTGGGAGGATTAGTCCCACGCCTCTATAGATCATATAGGCCGTTAGGCCCGTACCCACCGGGAGGCTGGCAGTACCTGGTGGTGCCTTGGAGTGAATAAGAGATACCTCCCAGTGTAAAAAAGAAAGAAAAATATATTAGTGAGTGTTGTTTTATCAATGAACGCTTGTTCACGAGAAGTATAAAGTAGTTAAATCTTGTATCTTCTTTTTATCTTATTCAAATTCCAATGCCGGTACAAAATCTTTCACTATAATAAACATTTATAGATATTGAACTATGAATAAACTAAACACTTTAACCAACTATTAACCCTCCACTTTAACAAATTTTTTTAATGTTGAACTATGAATACTCAAATGGAGTCGAATTTGTGACTCGTGTATTATTCTATGTTTTGGATTTCTTTCTCTCATATAAGGGATTTTCCATTCTTTTATTTTTTTTGCTATGCGAACATGCATTTGGATCTCTGTGTGTGCCCATCTTTTGTATGTTAAATAAAACTTACTATCTTAACATCACTACAAACACTAATTTATTACATCATACTCTCTATATCTTTAATCAACAAAAAACCCAAAGTAATAATTATTATACTAATTGTTTCTGTAACATTATATTGATGATTATTTTATGTAATAATTATATTTCATGCGAATATCACATTAATATGGTTGAAATTGTTTTATTTAAAATCATTGTTTATTTGTAGCATTTTGAAAATCAATGGCATAAATAAACAATTAAATATACAATGACATAATTATTATAGTATAATACCTTCAAATAAGAACAATAAAGAAACGTGAGTTTATAGTTAACTACTGGACATGTTCCAATAGTTTAAGTACTAACAATTAACACGAATCACTATTTAAGTACCAACTTAAATGACTGGGTTTTTATTTGGATATTGTCTTTATAATAATACTCTTCCGGGAAATTTAAATATATTTTACAGTTCATGTGTACTCTATGCTTGTTTAGTTGTTTGTGTTTTAAGATGAAATTTCATAATTTTCAAAATAATCATTTACATTATGCATAAATATATGTGATTTAAGAAGAGAGATAATTTCCAAAATAACCATTTACTTTATGCATAAATATATGTGATTCTGTGATTTACATTAGTACTTTTGGACATATCATAATTTTCATGATAACTATTTAAATTGTTCTAAAAAGTATAATTATATGTGATTGCTCGATTTGCAGTAGTCTTTTTTAACATTTTACATTATTGTACATTTAAGTTTTCTATGTTTGTTGCAGTAGCACTAAAGATAAAAACTGAAAATATATTATTTAAAAAATTCTACGCCATTAAATAGATAATTCCAAGGGAAAAAGTATTATAATGGTGTTTCTCCATGGAAAAACCAATTTCAAAAGTGTGTGGACAATGGACCTATCATGATTCTTGGAATATTCTTAATTAATTTGTAGATAATCATAGAGTTAAATTAAATCTGCTCCTTAACTTTCTTAATTAGTTTAGCTCGGTTATCTTTGTGGGGTTAGATTTTCATTAGAGTCCTTTTGGTTAAGTATATATAGCTTTTATATTAGATTTACAAAGTTACCATTAATATTGTATCAAATATAAGGACTTTTTAGTCCTGTGCAATTTTTTACAAAACCGCTCATCCTTGTATAATAGTATTGATTGATCTTTGTTCGAACTCTTTCTGATGAAGCTACAGAAAATAGTGGAACAATAAGGCTGTGGTTGGACATGAAGATAGATAACACTACTTTTTAGTATTTTGACTGAATGTTCATTTGTCTGTAATTTAATTTTGCTACTTATCTTATAGTCCTCTCATTAAGTTCTCTCAGAGACTTTAATGTAACATTATGTCATTCATCTACATTTTAGCTTCCCAACTGTTCACATCCAATTTTTATGATGTGATCCATCTATAAGTTGGTGGATCTTGAAAACGAACACCATGCTAGCGATCTATGTATTTTTCAGTTCCACAATCTTTTAATTGTTAAGAAATCTTGTTTAGTTTGAACAATTTATTTATCTTATGCCATATGTCTTCTTTTATAGCTTGCTGATGACTGTAATTTTATTCTAGGCATGCGAGGCATTGTTGACTATACAAACTACAGTGACATGAAATATGCGGTGAGCAAATAATATACTCTACGTGAAAACTAACCAGGCATTTTAGTGTCACTTAATTGCTGCTGCTTTATTTGACATTTAAAGATTTGTACTTCCATTGATCAGTATGACTTGTTGCGTGATCTTTTCCCATATCTGCATGTAGATAAGGAAGCTTGATGACTCTCTCTTCCGAAATCAATATTCTCGTGCTTATATACGGGTATGTTCCAAAAATTTGTTTGTGTGCTTCATGAGTAGATGGTTGCTAATTCATTTTGATATATTTAGGTTGAGGAGTATGAAGCAAGACGCAGTTATTCCAGGAGTCCAAGTAGGAGTCCCTATTCAAGAAGCAGAAGTGTCTCCAGGAGCCCTGGCTATAGGGGGAGGAGTAGAAGGTATACTAGATTTCTTTTATGCAAATCTCTCTCTCTCTCTCTCTCTCTCTCTATTCCGTTTTTCTTTTTGGTTGATCTTGGCATTTTAACTTGTAACTAATTCACTCTACAGTGTGTCTCCTAGGGGTAAACATTATCGTCATGCTTCATCTAGATCTCGTTCAGTGTCAGCTGCTTCACAATCAGTATCTGAGTCACCTCGTCATGGTGTATCAAGGTATGATGATGTTCTGTGTATGATGATTCTGATTTCCCGTTTAACATCTCTTGTATTTTATAGTATGTTGTTTGAGTGAAATCGTGAATAATGCTCTGGCTTTTGATGTAATGAGCACTCTTTGTCAAACATGTAGTATCTCTGTTTGCTTGAGTTGTCTTTTTCTATTTGTTGGTTTGTGATTTTTACCCCTTTGTGAACCTGTGTACTATGGCCTAGTTACTTGGGCTAACAGGGGGGAGTGGGATTTATGGGTTGGAAGAAATGGGAATAGGCATAAACATGATGAATATGGAATATATAAAAGCACAAATAACAATTACCCCCAGCAAACTTATTTTTCACTATCATTTTAGTTATGTTGAGATACATATGGCCACTTATATTTTATTTTATTGTATCTATCCTTCAAAAAAAGAAAAAAAAAGGAAATGGAAAGGCAATCCAACAAAATGTGTCCAAGCGAAGACCATAATATGGACAATTCACAAGATTTTCCTGAAAATATGTGCGTGGTTTTGGAGAATTTACTTTCATTTTCATAATTCTCTAAAAGCAGAGGGTCATTTTGTGGAGAAAGAAAAGTGGGCTTTAAGGTACTAATGTTAATAGTGATCATAAAGGTAACCCTTTTGTTTTCTAGATTTGGTGGCAATCTGGGGATTTGCATGTTAGGAACTTGATGGCTTGCGGTGCTCAGTTTCATGCGACTCACTTCCGTTGTGGCAAAGACGGGGCTGTTAAGTCGATGAGCACCTGCAGCAAATACTTAGATGGTACAATTTTCATTTCTGTAGTTAAAGGATTTAAGGATGATTTAGTCGACGAATGAAAAATGGATTTTGCTCTATGATTGACATATATTTTATTCACGGTTTGTATTTTTGGAATTCTGTTGATTGGTGGTGGCTGCAGTGTGCAGCTATTGATGCTTGATTGTTCTCACAGAAAATTTTCTTGGGTTTTGGGTTTGCTTTTGCTGATGTCAATTGTCATGAGCTGCATTGACACCTGTGGTCAAACCCAATTAGATTTTTTTATTCCCCCAAACAATTGGAGAATTTCATTAAGCCTTAAAAACAATGTACAAATACAATCCGGGTACAAGCCCCCAATACAAGCTTAGTGTAATGAGAACCACATAAATGTGGCCTATAGTATATCTTGAAAGAGCCATAGATTCCGAGCCTTCCAAAGCCACCAGAGTATGTACGTTGAGAGTTTAATTCTGGCTTCTGAAGTCTCCTTCTAATCCACTGCACATACTTGCCACCACCAATCCAATAAATGACTAGTCAAAGTTGTGTTTTCCTATGGCCCTTCTTTTATGCTCAAATTCATTTTCTATTGGTTAAAAGGTTTTTAATTGTTCATTTTGAATTTGGCATGCTGATACAATGAAAACTTTGCAGATCTCCATCAAGATCTCGCCATTCAGCATCGCCTGTAAGTGTCAATCCTGCAAGCTTCTTACGCGCCATTGATATAATTGAAGTAGATTTTTAAGCATTATTTGTCTCTCTTGCAATATATTTATTTTTCTTTGGATATAATTTTGGTGTTACAGTCTCGTCCCAAATGTCCAAGTGCTAGTCCCAGCAGAAGCAGAAGCAGATCAAGATCGGTATCCTCATATTCTCTCTGGATGTATACGTAACAAAATTCTGGTTTCTATATTATTTTGTTGTAAACCTAGACTTTTTTTTTTTTTTTTTGTGTGGACAGGTGGCATCAGACTAGATACAAATTTGGAGATCAAATAGTGCAAGCAGTGAGAACATTTGGACTGGCAGTTAGATTCTTATATGGTTGGAACTAATAAATCATATTGTGCTCAGACTTTTGGGCCTACAAACGTATCGTTTAATCTAATTTCAGGTAGACTCTGGATTGATACCGAATGATTATGCAGCTATGCAGCACTTGACATTATATTTGCTTTCTCAATCTACCAAACGTTTGCCTTAGCTCAACTCTCTTCTGGTTCTAACCGAGGATATGATGTTTTACTTGCAAGACTACTCACCATTTTGGTTCGGTTGCAATATTATGTTACGTGATGTTCGAAAAGCAAAGACGGTGTTGTGTTATGTTAAAATATTTATCATCTATCTATATAATCAATTATATCATGTCAATATATATCCTTAATCGATTATATACTTGTAGCATGACACTTATATTTAGCCTTGTGAGTTCTTTTGTTATGTATATGTGCACGAAAAAACTTCCTAGAATGATTCGTGTGAATCTGAGATTGGTGTTTATATGAATACTCAAATGCTACCCGAAAACGCATTGAGAAGTTTTACCTGGCATAGCTTGACCAGGCTTTTAAATTGAATTTTTGTATAAACGAAATACATATTTTATTTGCAAAGATACGTAAGTTGTCCAAAAATTTTGTATTTGTATGCTAACGAAAATTATGCTGACGTTATTATATTTTCAACTATTCATTATTTTTTTTTTTTATAAAATACTAAGTATTACTTTTTATTAATTTCTTATCTCATATTATTACTTCATTTTTTCCCTTCAAAGAAATAATCACTTTTAGTGCTTGATGCGCGCCTTGTCTACTTCTTCTCTTAATGCCATTGATAATAATTGTATGTTCACGAATTCTAGTGGGGGCATCCTAACCATTAGACACTTTAATCTGTTATACTACTTTTTGTAACAAAAATGTATATTTATGCTGTGAAGTGTCATGCATTTATATATGTTGTTTTTAGAGTATACCATTTGTATTTAAAAGTATGCACATTTGCTGAAAAGTATTGTTGTTTTTAAGTAGCTTACTATTGTATGCTTACATCCATTTTTACTTACTAGTAAGGTGTACGTGCTCCGCACGTGAAATATATAATTTGTCTAATTGAATTTGAATATGTCATTAAGTTGATTTGACAAAAATATATTATTTATGATATACATTTTAAGTTAAATATAAATATATTTATACATATTTAAGTGAAAAGATAATACATATATATTTACTATGAGAAACAAATTGCAAAGGGTGTGATTAGATATGAGTTATAACCGGTCTTAATCAGTTATGATCGGTTGACTTATTTCATACTTTAATTTTTAACCAAACAAAATTGGTCAAAACTGGTTGGATTCATATCCAATCGTGCCTAAGAGCTCAACAAATATTCAGTTTGGAAGTTTGAAGATGATTTTAATGCTAATTGAACAAATGTTTCAAGTAAAAATCAGTAAGAGTTGAACACACGTACACAAAGACTAATGTAAATGTGGAATAATTTTATTTGCACTAACACATTGTCAAAAAATCATGAAGTTTTAAATTTTAATTGAAAATGATATGATAATATGGACCTCATAAAGTTTCTTTTGCTTAAAAAGGCATTGTAATATTAATAGAACAATGGGATTATATCTATTAGCCTTTTAATTTAAATTTTTTTACCTTATCGCCGTTAACATGTTACATATTATCAACTTAATCTATCTCATGTTAAACATTAAATATAAACAATTTGAATTAGGCATATTCACTTTTATCTAAGAGTATAGAATAAGTACTAAACTCGATACAAAATATTTGCATAATGTAAAAGTACAATGAATTTTGGCATATTAACGTAAGGATATGTAAGAAATAATTATATGGATGAAGTTCTTATATTTAATGTATAAATTAAATAATGGAGGTTATTACTGAAAAAGTCATAGTAAAGTGTTATTGTCTTTATAGAGAATATCTTTTTGTGTCTTCATTGAGAAATATGATTAACAAGTTTCCACGTTGATACCTAAAAATGGAAATTAGAAATGTCATCTCATTCTTACAAAATTGTAGATGATGAATAAGTTTGATTAAATGTGAAAGAAAAAATATGGATAGTTCGCTTATTTGTCTCTCTTCAAATTACTTCTCGTACATCATTTGGTTTTCATCAATTGATACCAACCACTACCCTTAAATATCAAACTTTTACTATAAAAATATGATAAAATATTATTTAATAATATATTATTTTAATTAATGTACTATATTTTGTGCATTTTAGTAATTTCTTTCATAATATAAATGCAGACAGTAATTATTTTTTTAGTAATTAAATCAATAAATATTATCTAAAAGTTCTCATATTATTAATTATTATCCCCCAATTATATTAAACTCGTTTTCGATATATCATATTATTTGGGTTAATATAAACTTGTAATCCAAAATATTATTATATTATAATTTTTATCTTAGATATTTTTGTAAATAAATAGCATAATATAATTTATAAGTCAAATTGCATTAATGATAAAATTTATAAAAATAAGATAGGTTTTTATCGTGATTTAACAAATTTATCTTTAGAATTTGAAAATATATAAACAAGTAAACGGTGAAAATATAAGTTGACATCCAAATCCGAAACTAATAAAAAAATTTGCATTGCCAATGACCTCTTGGCCTAGTGGTAAGAATGAGGCACCCTTGACATGAGGTCAAGGGTTCAAGCCCCCCGGAGCGCAGTGGTGGAACAATTAATACTGAGGACTAGAAGCGGCAGTGTGGGAGGCTGAAACTCGGTGGGAACGAGCGGTTGGATAGGTGGGGCCAACTTGGAGCTGGGAGAGCCAGCGAGCGATCACTTGGGGATCGACTCCTTGTGCGCGGTAGTTGAGGGTATGAAATTGGGAGCCATTGTGTGGCTACCGCGGTTTAACTGGAGGCAGTGTCTGAGGGGCCGGAGCTGTTTCCTCGAGGACTAGTCAGGCGCAAGTTTGGAACCTCGGTATCAAAAATAAAAAAATTTGCATCCATTAAAAAAAAATAAAAGTTCCAGAAAACTAAAAATGAAAATAAAATACCCAAAATATGAAATGGAAAGAAACACACATATATATGATATTTGCAAAAGAAGTTTAAGTTTATATAAACAAAATTACTACTCTCTCTCTCTCTGGGCTCTTAACAAATGACAATTAAACAATTAAAAAATTAAAAAAATAAGGATAGTTTGGTAAGTATTTGTACTTTTAAGATAGTAGAGATAGAGATAGAGATAGAAATTTTTTTAGTATAATTTTTCAAATCTATGTGAGACGGATATACTATAAATTTATTTTATTATTTCACATTCAATTTGTTTAATACTCATTTATAATATATTATATGAAATAGTTGTAGGTTCATTTATTATTTTTACACTATTGATGTATAATTATATAATAATAAAATAAATATATTCGTTTGTCGTTTACATGCACTATTGGTATTCGGTCAAACATTGTTTTTTTTTTAGAACGATAGAGATATTATATAACTATAATCCGCACAAAGTGCGAATAAAAAACAGAGCTGAAGAGTACAATCAAAGGCTGAATAAGACTGAGAGGACAGATCCGAGGATCGCCTAGAGCCTAAGCTAGCGACCGGAAGGAAGACACCAAGCGCGGACCGATCCCAGACTGCTGGCTTACCAACTCCATCAGTAGACCCGCGCTGCACTTGGAGAAAGAACTTCAATCTCAGACGGACCACACCGACATCAAAGGCGTACGACTTCAAGGATGGCCCGAGCGGTCGAGGGAGACCATCGGCCAAAGTCACGCCGTCACCGTGGAAGGCGAAACGATGGAGCGAGAGGAGAGGAGACGACGGATTTTGGGGATTAGGTTTCCTCTATTTTCGCGAGGAGCACAATCAAGGTAACCTGCATGGTCAAACATTGTTGAAAAGTTACTAATTTGATATTAAGGAAAAAAAATAGTAAAAAAAGATANAAAGAAAAGGCAAAAGGTAAAACTGTAATATAATCATTTAAAAAAAATCAAAAATAAAATATAACTTTTTAATGCAAAAAATATTAAACAAAAAAGACAGCCACATATTTTGTGCTATTAGTGCATTTTTAGGGATTTTATAGTATTTCAACCTATTCTATATATATTAAGAGTTTTACAACAATATTATTTTTAACATTGTTGTTTATTAAATTATAATTTATGTACTTAGAAGTACTAATTAGGTTATTAAACCTGAGAGTATGTTTTGGTTACTACGCTGCAAATGTTTCTTTTTCTTCAATAATTTGAACTACTTGATTAATTGAGTCATATTTCTTTTATCTTTTGAATATTTTGAGCAACTTAATTAGTTGAGCTATTTTTAACTTTTGTGAGGCAACACTTTCGCATATCTTTTCATACAACACAAAATATTGTAGGAATATCATGTGATATTTTTTTTCGAAACGATAAACTTTAATAAAAGAAAGACACGTAATTACAGACTAGAAAACAGCTAAATAATCGAATAAATCAGCTACTCGGTTGAATCTAGTTGGGAGGACTAACCCCATAGGCATCTTGCCTAGGACAACTTAGAACCAACCCAAACACAAAATAACAAAACTAAAAAACACTAGCTCCCAATAGGATCTAGGGAAGCTGGAGTGTGGGGGGGTTGGTCGACTTTCCTTCGGCTGTGGGTCGGCTTTCACTTCTTGGAGTTGTCTGGGGCCTCCGATTTTGGCTTCAGCTAGGCGTTTCGGGAGCTGATTTCTAGGTTGTGGTTCATCTCTGTGGGTGTTTGTCTGTGATTCGACTGGTGCCTCCTGTTAGGACTGGTGTTACTGCTGTGGGACGGGCCGCTTATGTTTGTTTTAGTTTTTTGTTATTGTTATGTGTTGTAGGTGTCTGTGCTCGTCTTGTGTTTGCCTTTGTGTTTAAGTTTGGGCCAGTGGCCTCAGTTTGCCCGAGTGTGACCTTATTATCCTGTTCCTGTTGGGATCGCACACTCGTGCATTACTCTGTTGGGGTCGTCTTTGTGTTTGTCTTAGTATTTTAGTGCCCTAGTTTTTGTTGTGTTCCCGAGGTTTACCCTGTTGGGGTCGGCTCTAGGCGGTCTGTTGACTGTCCTCCCATTTTTATTCAGCTATTGACTGCTTGTATTCAGCTGTTGGCTATTTGTATTCAGTGGCTGCTCCTTTGCACATTTGCATGCATTTATATAATACCTCTATCGTTTCGACAAAAAAAAAAAAAAATTATAGAGATAGATGATTTTGTTATCATTATGTGTAAATGAATTAGTTTCTCAAATATGTTTGGATATTATTATTTTCATGTCATGGTTATGGACTAATTGACAAAATATAAACGAAAATTGTATCTTCAAATTTATTTGCAAATATTCCCTGAAAATACATTATATCATAGAGATTGATCTATAACTTTGAAACAAATACCTGATCGAGTCATGGATGTTCTCCTATGTATCCATTACTCATGTCAATTTTTCCCACGCTTTTTATTCAACACCATAGATGGAAACATGTCATTTTTTTCATTAATGAGTTACATCTGGATGCAACTAATTCAAGGCACAACAAAATACAGGAGAGGGAGAAAAGAAGAAGTCAGACCACATAAATTTAATGGACATCCTAACCTTGGAAATTAGTTCTTGGACGAATGAGTGGTAAGAAAAAACATTGTTGGTGTCCTCCCCATGCACTATAAATTCATCTCTAATATATGAACCTTTCAATTACAACAAGAACATAAACATAAAGGGACGAAAAAAAAAAGAAGAAAAAAATAAAATAAAATCAACATGGAAATGAAAAGCATTGTTGCAGTTGTATTGGTTTTGCCATTTCTAGCACTGAATGGCGAAGCTCAAGAGCCTGTGATTTATGACATCACAAAGTACGGTGCTGCACCAGGTGCCGATATCAGCGAGGTACAATAAGATCCAACAATAGTAATGTTTTTTTCGTCAAAAATTATTTCGTACGTTAATTTCGTTCGGTGTAGGCTCTCCTTGCTGCTTGGAAGGAAGCTTCGGCATCAGAAAATGCTAGCAAGATTGTGATTCCACCAGGGACATGGATTCTAAGCCAGGTCAGATTGACAGAAAACAAAGCCCCTCTGGAGCTCGAAATACAAGGCACTGTGCAAGCCTATGCCGACCCCCAAAAACTGCCTAATAAACAAGGTGAATGGATCACCATCAATTACGTCAACTACTTCACCCTGTCTGGTGGTGGCGTTCTCGACGGCCAGGGCCATGAAGCATGGAAGCAAAACGATTGCAACAAAAACAAAAATTGCGCCAAGCTTCCCATCGTAAGATCTTAAATACTCGAATTTAAAATGCATTTACATGCATGAATGGATATATATATATTAAATGAAATGCATGCAGAATCTGAGCTTGAACTTCATCAACAACTCGGTAATCCATGACGTGACCACCAAGGACAGCAAGAACTTCCACGTGAACTGCATCGCAAGTCACAACGTGACCTTCCAGAGGTTCCACGTGTCAGCTCCTGGTGAGAGCATTAATACTGACGGGCTCCACCTGGCGCGCTCCTCCTTGATAAGCGTCCTTGATTCCATCATTGAAACTGGGGACGACTGCATTTCCATTGGGGACGAGAGCTCTGAGTATCACATCCAAAATGTCACATGCGGACCAGGCCATGGCATCAGCATTGGAAGCCTCGGCAAAGGTGCTCAGGAGAAGGACGTAACCGGAATCTACATCAAGAACTGCACATTCAAACAGACGCAGAATGGCGTCAGGGTGAAGACATGGCCATCGGCCCCGGCCACGCTCAAGGTCAGCAATCTGCATTTCGAGGACTTGATCATGGACAACGTGAGCAACCCCATAATAATCGACCAAGAATATTGCCCTTGGAATTTGTGTGACAAATCAAAACCATCACAAATCCAAATCAGTGACGTTAGTGTCAAGAACGTACGTGGAACGTCCAGCACAGCAGAGGTCGTCACATTTGCCTGCAGCTCTGGCAAGCCGTGCCAGAATGTGGAGATTGGTGATATTGATCTTGGCTTCGTTGGTACCATTGGAAATATCACCACCATATGCTCCAATGTGAAACCCACTGTTACCGGCAAAACAAACCCGCCACTCTGTGCTTCCCCAGCAGCGGCACAAGCGGCTTAATTGTTTCGTGCATTTCTTGCACATCGATTCGTAAATTTTATTTTAATTTTTGTTTTTTTTTTCTATTTTGTAACGAGAATAATTTGTACAAGTTTTGAGTTTGTATTTTTCTACCAATAAATAGCTGATCTTACTCTTTGGAATAAAAGAAAAAGTTAGGCAAATGCACTAATACCACCTAAAACACTATTATTTTATCACTAATATTATTAATATGTATTTCACAAATAAGAACCAAAATATATTTAATTATAATTTCAAAAGAAAAAGATAAATAACAGCACCTAGGCGCTTAGCCAACCTAGTTATGCCTAAATTTGCAGCCGTTTGGCCCAGCTACATGGCACCTAATTGCCCAAGCACCTAGTGTCGCCTAGGGAAAAATTGGAGAGCTCGGGTGCAACCTAAGCAAGAGCCGAGCCCGACTTTTAATCTGGCCATAACAAAATAACAAAACACGATGCAGTTGGCGCAAAATGGTTGTAGCACTTCGACTGCAGATTCAAAAGATTACAGTCACACTCACAATATGTCATTAGCCAATGGGGAGTCTGTTCTAAACATTCCATAGGGAACTTGAGAGGTTAGCCCTTGCAATAACATCTAAGTCGAATGAGGAAGACCTGAAAAACAAAAAAAAAACAAAAGGCATAACAATTAAAAAAACTGTCGTAAGAAAACATACACACGCAAGAATAGATAACCGTTATTGTAACAGAGAATCACATCGAACGAACCCATCATGTTTGGCCATACGGTACTTTATGCATTCTCCTGGAGAGATCAACACCTACAATCTATAATGAAAGGACATTTTAGATTTTTTAAGTGGGCACAGCTTCCCTTTTTCAGATATATGCAGATTGATGAAGGATGAAAAAAATCCATCACATTTTCCAGGCTAGATGAACTTCATTAATTTGCAAATCCACTTGTTATTTGGTCCAGGTAGTTTAGTTCACCACATTGCATTATGCAACTTTCAGAAGTACGTTATAATGGCCACTTGGTTCAGTATCGTCTTCTTTTCCTTTTCTTTCCGTTTCCCCTTTTCTTCTTTCCTTTCTCTTCTTTTCCTTTTCTTTCCGTTTCCCCATTTTTTCTTTCCTTTCTGTGTGCTTCATAAAAGCAATAGGAGTAAGTGCTGGATTCAACTCCAGTCATTAATTTTGGTTTCACGAATTTATAGAGAGAGAGAGAGAGAGAGATATTTCTTAAATGTATAAGAAATGATCAAACCTAAATTTTTATCAACAACAACAACAACATACCCAGTATATTCCCAACAGGTTGGGGTTTGGGGAATCAGTTGTACGCAGACCTTACTCTTGTAATTATACAAGGAGGCTGTTTCCGTAGCGACCCAAGTGCATTGCGCCGTTTGATATATTTTTATTTTATTTTTCTAGAAACTTCACTAATAGAGAAGCACTAGAATTTAATTGAGCCATTTTGATCTAGTCCATTATTAGCACTATGCCAGGAAAATCGTCAACAATGACTCTTCCAGCTCCATTTGCAAACCTAAATTTCTATATTTAAATTTAAACTTCATATAACAAGCCATATGTAAATCATTTAATTTTAGTACATTTGGTTAATAGTGTAGTTCACATTTGTCGATAAATTCCAAATAAACTGAAAGGCTAATGTTTCTCTCGAAACATAAGTGTCTAAAAATGAAAAGAATAATTGCATTTACATTTTTAATAAAGTATGCAAGTCACATAATAAATAGATTGAAAAGTCTGCCTATAAGGGAGTAAGAAAAACTTTGTTACTTTTAAATGTTTCATTTCTCCATAGGTTCTATTGACTTGTTTGCAAAATGGTACCCATTTATTTTCATTCTACACATGCACTTGTGTGTATTGTGCTTCTATGAACCACAATATATCTAAATGCAAAAGAAATCCATAGTTGGAAAAGCCATCATTTGGTGTCACTTTGTCTCACCAAAAAAGACTTACCTTTTGCCTCCCACCTAGGCATCTAGGCCTTGTTTATTGAAAACGTGAGACCACACTTTGTTTAACAGGAAGAATTGGACATAGCCATAATATGCTTGTTCCAAGTCATTCATTGGATCCGAATGAAATTGATAAGAGTAAAGAGTCAAGAAAATGAAATATGAAATTTTATTTAATACGAATGGTAACCAGAAGCTTGAAGCTTCCGAGCAGAACTTCTGCCCAACAAGAATTACTCTTGCCCAATAGCTAAAGCTATTTAATTCTTGCTGCCTTCCATTCTCTACTAGAGATCCTATATATATATTTAAGGTCATAACAACAAGATAACAATGATCTTCAAAAGACAATCAATCCAGATCACAAAATCACTCCACAATATGTAGATTTATTCTCCCTACCTTGGATGCTTAGTTATTATTTATTCTTCAATATACTTTTCATAATGTATGCCTTATTTCATGCGATCTCTATCAGAAACCACAAGAACAAAACAAGGAAGGTTGCATAGTGCTTCAATATGAGAGTGATCCAATAATGAATGAATAGAAGCTTGCATTTCCCAAGAGGAAGATAATATTTGAAATAATACTTGTGCATATTTTAGCTAGGTCATCAACAATTGAAATGAAACCTTAACATTAAATAGTTTGACCAACCTTGTTCCAGTGGTTGGCAGATTTCTTTACTAGAAAAGGAAATGGAGAAAAAAAAAAAAGTTGATGGAGTTTGTTCAGATTGACTGAGAGATTTTGATTATGGTAATCAAAATAACTTAAAAGGTCACAAGGAACCATTTCTTATCTAGTATAGCAAGATGCAACAATTTGGAACAAACAAAACCACTAATGCTGATGCATGAGTTCCTGAATAAACTCAGGAAACAAAATTCAAATAAAAGTATTACCTTAACTAATCCACCTTGTCCTTGGCGATGGCTACATGCTACTCCATGCATTAAATTCTCAGCACAAACTTCCACCTGAACTGAGACCTCTAAGCCAGGAAAGAAAAACAGAAAGAATTATATTTGCCCATATAGCGTTACCGAGTATAATGGAGAATGCTCACATTAAAGATTGAAGTTGAAAAGATCTATGCATTTGCTAAAATTAAGAATGACTCCACCCACATCTTCGCAAAGCTAAATCATATGGAAATATACTTCCACAGGCTTTTTATTCGTAACTCCAATCTTAAGCATTCACAAATAATAAGCATAGTTGGTCTCCACAACTCTTACAGTTTCATAGCATATTGTTATGACACTAAGACGGTGCTCACAACTGAGTTTCAAATTTCACTCCATCCTCACAACTTGGCAAAGTTTTGAACCACAAAGCATATCCATTTCATAAAAATAAAACTACTTCAAACTCCATTACCTCATTATAACTATACGTTCACAAGCATTTTCCATCATCATACCCAGTTATCACAAAAACAAGAAACAATTAATAGAATAACAAAGATAGCCGACATTATACATTACAACCAAGATAAGAAAGTCACCAGAGGCAGCCAAATTTTCTGAACTCACATAAACCTGCGAATATTCAACGTCCGGCTCCTATTACGCTGCAGCCAGGTGTCTTGACCACTCCTTGCCGGGCCATGATCTCCCTAACCTCCATGGCATTGCCCCAGTTACCTTTGGAAGCGTAAATATTCGAGAGCAGCACGTGAAACCCATCATGCTCTGGTTGGAGTTCGATCAGCCTCCTCCCAATCTCCTCCCCCATTTCCCTGTCACCATGCTTCTTGCAAGCCCCAAGTAAGGCTCCCCAGGTGGCGACATCTGGCGCCACGGGCATCGTCTCGATTACTTCCTTCGCCTCCCTCAAAAGCCCTGCACGTCCAAGGAGGTCCACCAAGCACCCGTAATGCTTAATATTGGGTTCAATACTGTGTTCCTCAGTCATGGAGCGGAAAACTTTACGACCATGTTCGACCAGACCCATGTGCCGGCAAGCGCCAAGAACTGCCACGAAGGTTATCTCGTTTGGGCTCACTTTTGATTTCTTCATCTCGTCGAACATTTGGAGCGATATATCCACCCGTCCATTCATCGCAAGGCCGAGTATCACGGCATTCCATGAAGAAACCCCTTTATTCTCCATGGCATGGAAAATCTCCATGGCATTGTCGACGCACCCGCATTTCATGTACATGTCGATAAGAGTTGTGCCGAGAATCGGGTTTAGCTTGAGCCCGTTTTCCCGTATGTAAGCATCCAGCAGCTTGCCTTGGTCAAGTGCCGCTAGCTGAGTACATGCAGAGACCACACTGACCAAGGTCATTTCGTCGGGCTTGACGCCTTCATCGAGCATATCACGAAATAGTGCTAAAGTCTCGGAGGACATATTTGACTGGGCGTAACCTGATATGATCGAGCTCCAAGAGACAACATCCTTCTCAGGCATGCGGTCGAATAATGCCCTAGCTTTCTCGATCGATCCACATTTAACATATCCGGATATCATAGAATTCCAAGATATCAAGTCCAAGAAACAACCAGAATTGAAAAGCTTCTGAGCAGCCAACACGGCCCCACATTTGGAGTACATGTGAATCAAAGCATTTTGCAGATTGACGTAAGATTCCAAACCGGCTTTTAGAACTAAACAGTGAACAGTTTCACCGATTTGCAAATTTAATAGATGTGAGCAAGCAGAAAGTACAGCCACACTTACCACCTCGTCTATTGTAATTCTATCCCTAGGCATGGTCAAAAACAGATTTACGGCCTCCTTATACATCGAATTCTGCTCATAACAAGAAATTAGAGCAGTCCACGATACCAGATCCTTCTTGTCCAGCTCATTAAACAGTCGGCATGCTTCACCTACGTTCCCACTCTTACCCAACAACACAATCATAGAATTTGAAGCAATGACATTTCTTTCAGGCATCCGAGCATAGAACAGTTTTGCCTCGTTGACATTACCCCACTGGACATATCCAGCCAGCATTGAGTTCCAAGAAACCAAGTCCAGCTGAGAACTCTCGTCAAACACCTTTCGAGCATCATCCACGTGCCCAGAGGTACAATACATATTTATCAAATTGTTAACCACGTAAACATCAGCCTCGAATCCCATCTTCGCAACATGACTGTGCACCTCTTGCCCCTCGAAATTCAAGAAACCGACAGAGCAGCCGTGGATTAAGATTGGATGAGTGTAGTTATCAATACACAAGAAGTTGTTCTTTAACATTGACTTGTACATAGAAATCGAATCGTGTGGCCTCTTTACCCGCACGAAGGCTTTCAACATCGTGTTCCAGATGAACCCATTTGGATTCACAATGCTTGTGAATATTTTCTGGGAATAATCAATGTGAACAAATGGTGAGTCGGTGGAAAAGCTGAGAATTCTGCTAGCAGCATATGTGTCCTTGATTAGCCCAGAACACATCATTTGACATAGAATTTGATTCAAGGTCTTGAGATTCAAGCATTGCGAGAGCAGAGCGTCCAAAATTGAGAAATTTATTGTTGTTCTTGAAATGGGCTTCAGTTTAGAAGACGATTTTGTAGCTGAAGATGCACCAACTGTTGCTAAGTACATATGTGCAGTTCTATAAAGCAAATGAAACAAGGATCAATGTGTCATAGCAGAGATGGACGAGTTGATATCAATTCTCTTTGCATTTGACAAATATTCCAGCTCCTGTCCTAGCCCGCGCGCCCCAGCCTTATCTTCNCAAAAAAAAAAAAAAGGCGCTGGACAGAGATGTCCAAAAGAGGACTTATAGGTTGTAGTAAATGGAAGACAAGTGAAACATACAGGAATAATTCATAAGAAGGTAGTTTAATATTGTAAATAATATTTTACAAAGGTCGCAGTGACTTAATTCATCTATCATTATATAAAAAGAATAACCTTTTTACAAATTTAGAAACTTTTTTCCCGCCAAAATCATTAAATATATTCTATATATAGTAATTATTGGACAAATCTGAATAGGCAAAAAAATCAGCTCATTAATTGTGTAAAGATTTGTTTCTCTTTTTCCTTTTTTTTTAGTTTATCAAAACCGTTTTTGACAATAAATATTTATTTTTCTTTTTCCTATTTTTAGTATAAATCTACGCGAGTTACAAAATCCCATTGTTTATTTCTTCTGTTACAAAATCCCATTGCATACGTTTCACGTGTTTAAAAAATATCATCCCTTATCTATACAGATTTGAAAAAATAAAATAAAATAGAAACCAATTCATAATTACTACTAGAAATCCATTATCTTTAAAAAGAAAAAACAAAATAAAATATAAACCAATTCATAATTACTACTAGAAATCCATTATCTAATTTAAGAAGCTAATTTTCATCGGTCTAATTATTAATATTTTTACAAATATTATAAGCTAACCATACAAAAAAGTATAATAATAATTTTGAAATGGTGTGTAATCAAATTTTTTTATATTCCCTTATACAAAATAATTTTACATTGTTTGACTCTGAATCTTTAATTTATAATTTTTAAGTATTGTTTACCCTCCTCTTTAATTTATAATTATTTTCTTTCTTACTCTTTTTAAATAGGATCAATAGTAGTTTCCACTTTCGTCATTGAGTGACTCAAACTCGATGTTTATTTATAATATTGTTAATTTAATATTATTTCCGTGCATCGCACGGGGTACACACTAGTAATCTCTCATCAGTGTTCTTTTTCTCCCCCCTGTTATGTTGGGCTTTGTGTATAGCTTTTATTTATGGGCTTAACAAATGGACCATAGGAGATTGGGCTTAATAGTGGTCTGGCTTATGTTTGGAAATGGCCCATCTCACTTGAATTTATATAATTTATGGTTTATGCTTGAGGGAATTACACCCTCCACCTTCAAATATGATTTATATTACATTTATATAACCATTATATTCTTATTTATAAAATTACCATATCAAGCAAAAAATATTGCAGTTTTACCTAAGATGTGGACTAATATATGTAACCGTCTGTTAAGGAATTTTTGGCAAATTAAACGCAATTGAGATCATTAATTGAGATTAAATATATACTTACCAAAACAATCGGACCAATATATATCCTCTCTCTCTCTCTCTCTCTCCAAAATCACCCCACCGCCCCACGTTCAACTCTCTCTTTCTGCAGGAAATCTTTCCTTCATGGCGAAGACAAAAATCACCAGATCTACTCGAAAAAAACCAATTCGTCGATCCTCTGCAACAAGGCCACTATTGAAAATTCCTGTCAGGTAATTTCGGCTTCCTTTCGGCTCGTGAGTGGCGGGGTCATCGGACGGTCAACTTCAGCCAAGGGCGGTGGGAGCTCGCGCGATTTGTCGGGAACTAGCGGCGGAGGTCGAACATTGACGGAGGTTGCACAAGGCGGCGTGACGAGACGAAGGGTGTCCTCGCTTTCGACCGGCAGTGTTCGCTTGACTCGGAGACGAGCAACTACGGCCGTGGGCTCGTCTCGGGAAGGCGGAGTCACAATAGCCGACGACAATCCTACTTGTGAGCAGCGACGACATTTGAAGAGTTTTCGATGGGATTGTTTCCACTGTTTATTTTATGTTTTATATAGCTTATGTTTAGTATATTAGCAAATTTTTTTGTTGACGAATGTTTGTTTCGGTCGGATTGATTTTATTCAGTATATTATTAGTTTTTTGGGAGGAATGAAAACTGCTTATTTGTATCATTTTGTTTGTGTTCAGTTGATTTTATGAGTCTATACTTTGTAGTTTTTTCTTATTTTTATTGTTCAATGAAAATTTTATGGTTTATTTCCAGTATATTTTTAGTCATGTTTCACTGTTTTCCATTTTTTTTTCTCATGACATTAATAGGAAGACGTTCGATAGTATGTAATAGTTAAAAATTTTCGGTATATTATCAATATCTTTTCGGTATATTTTCTCATGACATTAATAGGAAGACGTTCAACGGTATATTATCAGTATATTCTCAGTATATTCTACCGTTAAAGATTTAAAGTCAGGGTTTATATTCAGTATATTTTCGGTATATTCTCAAAGAAGCAATGTTTAAAAAAAAAAAACGATATATATATCCTTAAAAAACGATATATATACCATTAAAAATGATAAAAAAAATTATATATATACCATTAAAAAAACCGATACATATACCAATTAAAACTAAAAAAATCCATTTAATGAATGATTAAAGATAGAACAAAAAATATAAAATAAAAAATGAACATGGAAACATAATTCCGATTAAGAAATATATCTCTCTATCTATTATATTTTTTTTCTTTTTTGTTCTTCTATTACATGAAAACCTAATTTCCCACTCCAAACACAATTATGGAATGCACATGTCGATCAGAACTGCTCATATTATTTTGGAGATATAATCATTCCATATATGAACCAGATTTTTTCTGTATTATGGTATATGTACAGTATATTTGCAGTATATGTTAAAGCAATATATATAGGCGAAGAAGATTTCGTGAAATTTCGTACTCTTTGCCCGATTTCCTGAAATTACGCGCTAGGAACATGGAAGTTTGTTCCACTTACTTTGTAACTGATTTTAGGCATGATTATAATTAATATTTATCTTTTAGGTATATACACAATTTAATTGGTATGGATGGTAATATTGCAATTATCTAAAAATCGTGTAGCACAAGTCAAAATTTTCCTTTATGTTTCATGTGAAGCGTATGCATGTAGACATGGCCAAAACCCGGGCCGAGTCGTGACCCGGCCCGGTCCGCCGGGTCGCCGGGCTCGAAAACACTAACCCTGAACCGGCACGGACCTATACTCGTGCCGGGTCTGTGTCCGGGCCGGGTCGTGTCCGGGCCGTGCTGGGTCCGGGCCGGGTCCGTGCTTTTCTTTAAAAAGAGTATAAAAAAATAATAAAAAAATTGAAAAGAAGGGTCATCGACCCGGCCCCGCCCTGACCCTCCGGGCCGAGTCATGAAATGAATGACCCTTACACGGCCCTTCTGAAATCCAGGCCGGTCCCGGACCCGTGGTCAACGGGTTTGACCGGGCCGAGTCAGGGCCGAGTCGGCGGACGGGGCGACCCTTTGGCCATGTCTATATGCATGTGCCATTTTATTTTCTTCAAAACCAAAACACAAACGAAATGATGTAATAGTATGCTTAATTGGAAATAAATTATGTAAATTAACCAAAATTAGGTCTCACTACCACATCCTTTATGCTCTTTTCTTGATTGTCTTGCTTGTTTAAATTTTCCAAAAGAAATCCAATGGCTTCTCTCATTCGTCTATTGAAGTTCTTAATCACTGGCAATATGTAGATGAATTTTTCAATTTTCGGGCGAGTTCTATCGCAACAAGAGTTGGAATCTTTATCGGCAAACATCGATGTTGAGAGTTTTGAAATGGTAAATAATTTGTTGAAGTCTATTATCAGTTAGTTTTTAATAGTTCTAAAATATGTTTTGGCATTGATTCGTTTTGGAGCATTTAAATGCAACAATGACTATATTATTCAGTGTGAAGTCCAAAGAAAGAAAGTGAAAAGTAAAAGTAAATGGTAGTTACTTCTTACATGATCGGTGAAATTTGTGTAAGACATGGGATGATTCTTGACAGCTGAACTTCCAAATTTGAATATAGTAGAAAGATCTTACTCCCTCCATTTTGAAATATAAGGCGTATAAAGATTTCTCATTTTTTTTGAAATATAAGGCGCGCTAAAAAATCAAGACAAATTTTTGCATTTTTTTCCAAATATACCCTCATTGTGTTGAAATTAAGGAAGTGTGGAGTGGTTGTGATTAGAGTAAATAAGGTTAATTTAGTCAATTTATTCATTAATTAATGTCTCCTTAATATTTGTGCAATAACCTTAAATGCCTTATATTTTAAAATGGGGGGAGTATTTTCTTTGAAACTTGAAATAATTTTGAAGTGTATGTTTAGTTCTGTACACCAACATTTGTCACTGATTACAAATAAAAGTGTTCATTTTTTGTATATATATATATACAAAAAATTATATCTTTAATTCTTTATATATTGAATCACATACATATATGTGTAAAAGCAATATGTTTTAATTAACTATGTAATTACTTCCTACAGACTGAAACTTTAAGATGGTGCTTGGACACTAATTTCTCAATTCATTTTAATCAATCACTTTTTTTTTTACTTAAATTAATCCAACTTAACTTTTCACAATATTATCAATATAATTAAATAATATCAATTAATCATCTTCACACGTGACATCAACTTTAATTCACTATTAATTCACTCACATAATTTTAACTATTATCACTTCCAATCACATTTCTCTTATTTTTTCATCAAATCAATTTTAATTATTTTAATACAAACTCAATCTTGAAAATTAACTCAATCAGTTTTTTAAAATTAATCCTGATTAACCAAAAAAAACATTAAAAACCAAAATATCCGCCAATCACAAACTTATATTCAAGCAACCACTAATTCTCGTGCGGAAATAGTACCACAAGTTTGGTAGTTAGACTGGGGAAACACTGGTAAAGTATTTACCCAACTACTTTGGTTTAGGGTAAAAAACTCTAATTCGGGGATGTAAAAATTAAAAATATTTTGATTAGATAAGATTAAATTAGAAATGAAGATTTGAACACCGAGTTTTTCATATACTAATATTTATCATCACAATAAAATATTATCTGAATTGTTTTATAACTTTCAATACAGTTGACACAATTAATTATGTAATATAATTATTGCATTTATTTAATTTAAAATAATAAAACAAAAAAAATTTAAGCATCATATAAATATAGAAAAACATAATTGAAACTCTTTAAAAAAATTATGGGAATAATGTAATACATGCACTGTACTATATATATATATATATTTTGTAAGTGAGAATTTGTGATTCAAGATATATAGTCGCAATTTATTGGCATATTCAAGAACTTTTACAGTTTATGATATACCGACCTTTTGAAATTACACCCATATGGATCACGACTCACTTCATTATAAAATGTAGTCCAGCTTTACAAATAATATATTCAAGCAATAAGTTTGTAAAATATTGTGCAATCATTGTTTCGTGTTAAACTAAAACTGACTAATACGGAAAAAGCGAACAAAGATACAAGAAATAACTTAGCTAGTGACAAAATTAGGAGTAGCTTTCAATTGTTAGCGATAGACAAATAAAAGACTGAAAAAAAAAATGAAAAAAAAAATAATCCAAAGTATTGTCGTGCAGTTGGGATGTCAAGGATGGACGAATTAATGCCTCTCAATATTATATTATCATTTAATGTTGGAGCAAATTAATTAAAAACAGTATAACCAACAAAAATAAAAATCAATAATTTATTTAGTGATCTAAATTAGTGATAGTGGCCTGATTGACATGTTCACATTTTGCATAATTAAGTATCTTCATAAAGAGGTGAAATTGCTAATATTTATTGAAAATTAATATGTCTCATTTATTGGGATTGTACTTAAGTCAGGCAACTGAAAATAGCAAAAATTACAGGTCCTACTATAGTTATTGGGGATTTGCATTGCCTTTATTGGTCCTTTAATTAATTTAATGGTCATACCGACCCTTCAAATATATCATCTTATTTGAGGAAATTATTATTTGAGATCTAGCTAGTCTAACTAAATTAAGTAGCACAATTAATGCATAATAAATTAATTAAGCCTTACGCAAGTATCATTTTTTCCCACTTTTCTCTCAAGATAATATAATTAAGTGAAACTCTAAGAAATTAAACAATAATAAAAACTCAAAGTATAGGTCGTAACACAATATGTGCAGATGTGATTCATGTACTATTTTCCCATCACAATAACTCGATAAGTAAATTTGGTGATAACGTGATAAGTAAATTTGGTAAAAGTTTATTTACTTATTTATTTATTTATTTATTTATTTATTTTATCAGATGTCCCCGAAGGGACAAGGTAAAAGTTAAGAAGGAAGATTTTTCTGTAGTTTCATAAAGGCAAATTAACTCTGTATGCCCCTACGCAAGTTAGTACACGATGAATATAATAAAGAATATACATGTTTCATTATTTGTCATATTAAGCAGATCACATAGAAGAATCAATTTTACTCGTTAAAATTGGTCTGGTCCGATAGATCCCAATATCAATAAAGGGAAATGTTCACGTGTCTATGATGGACACATGTTAATATACTCATCGTTTATGTGGCATGCACACATTGATGATGTATTTTTTTTAACATATTAACATTACTGATGTGTGAATGCCACATAAGCGGTGAGCATATTAACATGTGGCCACCGTGGGCATGTGAGCATTTCTGTATCACTAAATACCGAGGAATACATCAGAAAAAATCGATTGAGAAACCATTAATCAGTTCCTTGTTTGTTGATCAACTGGTCCTCTCTAGATCGCAAGTCAAACATTGTTTCGAGTTCCAACAATTCGAACCCAAATTCGAGTTAAACTCGAGTCTATATTTTATAAATTCGATGAGTTGCTCGAGTATAAGTGCAACTTAATTAATTAAACAAATATCCCTAACCCGAGCTAGATTCAAGCTATATATATATATATAACTTAAACAAATATCCCTAATTCAGTTCCATTTAATTAGTTTGGGACAAAAGTTTGTTCAGTTCAGTTTTTTCAAAAGTTCGACTCATTTATTTCAATTTGGACATTTTGATCGGTCGATTCGACCAAACCAACTAAATAACAATACTGTGTCCACCATGATGTTCATCCTTATCGTCCGTCGCGCCCTCGACCTCCCCTGTGGCCCCCATAGACCTTCCCGATCACGACTCATGGTAGTAGATCGCCGTCGTCGTGTTCCAGTACTTGAACGACGTGAAGTTCGGGTTCCTCACCAAGACGTTGGTGCAGAGTGTTATGTTGGACACTGGCCGCGGGTTGGTGGTGCCGGTGAGATCCCGGATCACCGAAGCTCGGATCCTGAACACCGTGATGGCAAGGGTGGCGATGGATGCGACCATGATGACTAGGATTCCGGTGGTGGATTATGGTTGCGGCGGGACTGGAGGCGACAATGACTGTAACGACAGTGGTGCTTGTGATTTTTTTGTGTGTGTGTGCATGAATAAGTGTGAGATTTTTGTGTATGTTTGTGTGTGAGAGAGAGATGATAAGGTAGATGGATTGGGGCGGGACTCACTGAATTGGGTGGGTGATAGTTGTGTAAAATGACCAGATTATCCTTAATGAATGGACAAATTCATACATTTGACCATACTATGCACGCTTATTCATGCATAGTATATTAACCATTATTTACTAAATTTTGAATCTATAATGACCAGTGATATGATTGATTCAATATCACACAATAATTCTTATTTCTTTCATTATGCACATTATTCTTATTTAATCTCACTTATCTCTCTCTCCCTCTCTCTCTTTATATATATATATACCTTTGAAATAAAAATAATAAATTATTTAACAATATCAAAATAGTGAAATCATTTATCGAATACAAAAGTCATGTATCAAGTTCATTATATAACATGAGGGTAAGTTGTACAAACGACGAATGTCATTATAAATATAAATAATAATGTAATGTTATAGGAATTTGTTGAAACCCAAAACAAAAATTTACCTTTTTATTTTTTTAGCTAAGTATAAATTTTTATTAATACTCGTGTACTATATGTAGTGTTGTTTTCTGGTAGTTGAATATGAATTGCAAAGGGATGAATGAGGAAGAATAAACCATGGGGTATTTATTAAATGCACTTGTCCATTGAATTATAGTATGTGTGCGTGAGATGAACGACCGTAAAAGGTGAATGATTGATTTGGAGAAAATGATTTTACTTGATACGCTTTGAATTTATTGACATAATATTTGGATTGTAAATTCATGTCTGTACACGATGATCATAGTCTGCACTCATTTATAGCTGAAATAATTAGATGGTGAGAGGAAGATAGAGTATTTATCAATCCTCAAATATTAAGACCAATATAAATAAAAATAAAATAAAATTTATTATGAGTTAGATAGGTGGGTTACCCACTATATTTTTAAATAAAAATGTATATATTTATAACATAGAATATCATATTTTGAATTTTTTTTTTAATTTTAAAATATAGGAATTAATCTAGACCTCAATATATGACTGACCAATTATTTGAAATAACAAAAATGTAATGAAATCGGCCAGATATTAAACAATGACAAGGTTTCATGATTTTTGCATATGAAAGTATAATTTTTATTTGAATGGTATGTGATTATTTTATTCATGTATACTCGTAACAATAGTATCTGGGTACTTAATAATGTGACATCCGCTTAATATTATTTATTAAAATGTATGTACATTCGTCTAATAAAATGGAATGGACGTATGTTCACTAAAAAAAATGTTAAGTACCAACCGAAATTTTAATGANAAAACTACTATGGGTGTTCACTATCATTTCTGATAGAAAATTTCAAAGGATTTTTTTTAGGCTTGGGATCGGTCCGGTTCTTATCATTTTTTTTAGGAACCAGAACCAGATGACCGCGTGTCGCAACGCGGCAAAATTAATATTTATATTTTTCCTCAACTAACCCCTACTAACTAGTAGTAGTGGCGAGCAAGGGTCGATCCCACGAGGAGTGTGAATCAAATCGTGAATTTTCTCGTATTAATTGAAACTATAAAAAGCGATAAATGGGGTGGATTGGTTTAAAAACTAAACTTATTAAAAATCCTAATAAACAAAGGAAATATAAAATAAAATAGAATAAATAAAGAGAAGTTTCTAGTTCACGGTTCCGTCTACACCCTCGACTGACTCGTCTAATCAATTCTGGTATCAAATCTCGCTATCTTATGAAATTACTAGCCCTAGGCAACGACACGGTCAGTTACCCGAATTTTTCCTTATTTTTAATTTAACCGCGAGACGCTCGACGATTAAACCTGACTTCTTGTACAGTCCAGAAAAACGTTTTCAAGATTTAATACAATTAGCCGCTTTACGAATTAGAAAAATAGGCTAGACTAAGTAGTGAACTCAACCGCGTTCGTTCACTTAAATAGGCCGTGTTATCCCCGGTAGTTACCATCTTCCGGTTACCTCTTATGAATTAAACACAACAACAATTACGGATTGAAGGTCTAATTCAGATGTAGATATGAAAAGCCTAATCTAGGTGATCAATCTAAACAAGACTAACACATCATGATGAATTATTCAAAATAACACAAGCAATTCCAAAAAGATATTGAAATTATCAACCATGAAAATCAATCAAACATAGTCAAGTCGTAGGGTTCAACTTCCCCGGAACTAGAAATAAACTAGCCTAACATAATAATAAAAATAAATAATAAAAGAGAAAAGATAATAAAAAAGAAAAGAGAGAGAATAAAATTCTCCCTCGTGTGCGGGTGCGGCTTCCCTCTGCAATTCGTCGGGCTCCTCGTATCTGTCCGTGCGGCTCTCTACTGCGTGGTGGCTTTTTCTATTTTTCTTCTCCCAGTTGCGTGAATGGAATATCAAATGACGTCCCCCCCCCTTTTATTTTCCTTGCAAATAAATCCTTTTCAATCTCTCTCAAAAGAATCATACTCCCATTAGGACTTTAATCTCCCCAAATAGATATACTTTTTGCTGCGTTAGTATATTATCTTTCCAAAAAAAACTCCTGCTACTACCTCTTTGTTTTTGCAAACAATTGGTGTGATGTATTGCCCATTTCCAAGCCTAAGAATTCGTCCCTATCACAGCTTCTCATATTGGGCTTTTGATTTCATTAATATTAAGCCCAAATTAACCACGTCCAAATTCTCGTTTGGTATCACGTCGCTCATAAAAATACTCAAATATCCTGAAAATAAACCATAAAAATATCAAAGCACCTCAATCCATCTAATAAATAAATAAGTCGAAAAACAATATAAGTGCGATGAAATTAAGCATATAAAAATATGCTAATAAATATATAAATATGCACTCTTTCCGACCAATCAAATCTCCCCAAACTTAAACCGTTGCTTGTCCCCAAGCAACTTAGAACTAAAAGCACATAGATGGACAAGAAAACAAGTACGTGGAACTTTACTCAGGGCCTCACACTTCTCACATAAATGCATAGCTCAAACATCTCAAATCAATTAATCCGGACTCAAGATGAAATCATTTTAAGAACTCAAACAATCAAGTATCAATCCAAATGACCACCATAGTTTGTCATTCTCTATAACGAATGCACTGATCAATGCAACTCATGACACCCCTCTCTTTGCTAACCAGTCAAGTTCCCGTCCGTTTCCAGCCGAAGTTTAAACGTCTCATTCTCTATTTTTCTCTTTTATTTTTTTTATTCCCTCTTTTTTTTTGAGAAGTAGGGAACGGCAGCTCCGTCACAACCCGTGGGTTTTAGCCTTTCGTGCTCGTCTAGATACGGAAATTATTGGAATTATACACTAGAGCCCCCACAGATTGGCAGCTGTTGCAGCCCATGCTCTTTTTTTTTTCTTTTTTTTCTTTTTTTTATTTTTTTTTTGGGTGCCAAACGGCTTTTCGACTCCACCAATTATTCTTTTCGACTATGAGACATAGAAACCCCAACTTTCAACTTCAAGTCCCCAAACTTAATCAACATTGATTAAAGCAATCACAAGCACATCTCAACAATACAAATCGTCTCAAAACCAACTCACTACAAATAAATCACAAAAATATCAACCATCATGCCTTTGTCCCCAAAATAAAAACACCTTAAGAATTTAACCAAATAAAATTAACTCAAGCCATTTAAACTAGCACAATAAATCCGAACCGACTCTCATGTCATCATTGCAAAATTCCACGTACATGCAATCTCACGCTCACACAAGCAAATGTCATGCAACCAATCTAAGACTCAAACTCTAAGGGGCAAAAATATAATGACATAATAAAACATGAATGCTCACCAAGAAATACCTCCCCAAACTTAGAGTTTGCATATATCATTGACACTCAAATAACACAAAAGAACAAAAAGAGGTAAAAGAAACGAGTTCACCTTAGTCAATGCAGAAGAAGTCGCCGAACTACGCACACCATTGGGTTGCCTCCCAACAAGCGCCTCTTTTTATTGTCGTCGGCCCGACTTATTGCTTCCGTTTCATCAAATGATCCATGGCGGCTTCGGAGGTGGCCTCAAGGGAGCCACAAATCTCACCACGCCATGCTTGACGAAATCTCTTCTTTCCGGTGTTGGGTGCTTCACTGGATCTTTCCTCCATGACGCTAATTCCCTATAAATCTGTAGCAACCGACGCTCAATCACGGTCACCATCTCATGAAACTCCCACTTACACCTTTCGTTTTGCTCGATCGTCTCAAGAGGAGGTATGTGAAGGCCCAAGACATGCTTCAGTGCATCCTTGCTCAACACCCACTTCATATTAGAATACATAGGACACGGTTCAGCTTCTATCGGCACAAGAGCAGGAAGAACGGTACGCTTTTTGGCTACAGCAGGTCGAGTATGGGGTACCTCCGTATTCTGCTGCTCAGCCCCATATTCTGCAGCTGGGTTCTCTTTTTCGCTCTCATTCTTCTCGATATTCGTGATTTTCTCGTTCTCTGGCTCGTGTATGCACTCTTCAATTTCCTCGAGGTCCTCGCTGTATGAATGGATGATGCTCGAACTCATTGGACTCGTTTTCAGCCGATACACTAGTCGGTCCATCTGGTCCACCAATTGGCTCATTTGGCCTTGTAAATTCTGTATGCGCAGTCCATGGTTCTCGATGCTCATCTCTTGGTTCTTGATGATCGCCTCTTGGTTCCTGATGCTCGCCTCAACACTTTGCTGAAAGTTAAGAGTGTTAGCCGTCAACTCCTTCATCATCTCCTCGAGCGGCGGACCAGGATCTCTCTCAAATAATGGCTCGCAGTGTTCTTGCAGAAATCTCAACGTGTGAGCCTCTACTGCCTTCACCATATCCTCTAGAGATGGGCTGGGATCTCGCGCAATCGGTGGCTC